CTGGTGACTAACTCCTTGGGAACCGATGTCCCCAGACGTTGTTTCAGGTCCTGAGCAGGAGGCAGGTGAGCAGTCGTCACACCGCTCAGCTGAAGGCCCTGAGACGGAAGTCAGGAAGCAGCGGCCCTGGTCACCACTGAGCTGCGGGTCTGAGGGAAACACTGAGAACCTGGTGAGTTCTCTGACTGCCCCTTTTGGGGTGGACACAGGCTGCGCCCCAGAAAGTCAGTGCCTATCAGACAGATGGGCATTTGCAGTGAGCCTGGTGGCCTGGGGCAAGCCCCTCCCCCAGGATACCTCTGACCACGTGCAGAGGACAGTGTGACTCAATGGCTTGTCTATGCACGGGACCCCAGCAAACTCTGACCCAGGCGTGGCCCTCTCCCCACCACACACAGGCAGACACTCGGGCCCACGCACACGCACCACAGCTTCCGAGATGCAGGGGCAGGGAAGCAGGACACTGGGTCCTGCTGGGCTCGCACTGTCCCCCTCACCCTGTCCCCTCAGGACAGGACCTTGCAGGACACGCCCAGGGCAGTCTCCGCTGAGCCTGCAGGGTACTGACGTGGCCAGGAGGCGGGCAGACGAGGGCCTGGGGCTGGTGGCCGTCCTGGAGCAGAGCTGTCCTGAGGGCCCTGCCAGCAGCAGCGGCGCCTCCTCCCTCTGGCTGCACATTGTCCACTGTCCGTGCAGAACAACAATGCACCATAAAGGCCCTTTCATCTCCCCTGCAGACGGCGACGCCCGCACCGGCACCCAGTGCAGAGCAGGCGAGCTCTCGCTCCGGGAGGCAGTGTGGCTTCCTCAGACCGGCGTCCTGCGGGTGCTGGGGAGGCGGGGGTTCTGCCCACAGAGAGGTGCCAGCTGGGACCTGCTGCGCTCTGGCCTGGCCTCTTGAGAATGTCCCCGGACTTCCACAGACACGCCTGGGCCGAGAGCCGGTGGGGAGCGTGTATGCAAGGAGGTGCAGACCTGTGCCGGTGGCCATGGACGGAGGCCTGGGGAGCCGCCACCAGGCCTGGCAGAGACCTGGCCTGAGCCCTACCATCTGGGCAGGGCTGCAGTGACCCTGGCGAAACACCCAGAACAGGGCACTACAGACCCCTGAGCATGGAACTGCTTACGACGAGGAAAATCCAGCTCCTGGAACAGTGGTTGCGGGGGGGGGGGGGGCCCACGTGCTTTGTCTGTTTTCTCCCTCTCGTGTAATTATGGGGGTAATCATCCTGACATCAATCTGAGAGTCGTCCCAGTCAAGGAGAGAATCACGCCTCGTTTTTGTTCAATGGCCGCTGGCCCCGTATCAAAGCAGATCAGAGAGAGAGCTCCTCTCAGTAGTAACTTAAAAAACAAATGATGCAAACTAATAATTCTACTGTTTTAAACCAAGACTCTTTAAAACAAAACCAGTCCGACAAACTGCCAAGGACGGCGTGGCTGACACAGCCCACCCAGGCGGCTCCTGCAGCCCCGTGAGCCCCCGGCAGCCGCCGCTCCTGAGCCCGCTCCTCCCAGGGCCCGCTTCTCACCAGGCCCCCTGGGCACCTGGCCACACGTGTACCTGTCAGTGACTGGCAACCGGTTTCTGAAAACGGCTGCCAGCCTCCAAAACCACAACTGTCACCGTCACTGTCGGGCGGTGATGGACAGCAGGTGGGCGCTCCACTGGGCCGTGCAGAGACGGGAGTGCCTGGCACTGCTGTCACTCTCTGTCACTGCGGCCAGCTGAGCGCCCCAGCTGCCAGTTGCCGCCGCGCAGGCATGAAACATGCCCTCTGAGCGATCCTGCCAGCAGGGCTGATGGAAGCCACGTTATTAATTAGTCCCCTGACGCACGGCCCCTCGGGTGGCAAACGATGTTCGTGTTTAATCTGTGTATGTTTTAATTATGGCTTAGGCGGTGCCAAATGGGATCACAGCCCCGTCCCCGCAGCTCTGCTCCGCGAGCGCGTTTGCATTAATTTGCATCTGAAACTCGAAGCTGTGGTCCCTTCCCAGGGACAGTCCTCCCTGGGCGCACAGCACCTCTTTCCCTGGCAGGTGCAGCCAGGACTGGGGCGACCCCGTCACCTGCCCTCACCGCAAATGACAGCAGGTGCCCTCCCCGGGCCACTGGAGCTCTAGGGCTGGCCTGTGCCCCTCCCGGGGTCCCTGCCGCTCCAGTCGCAGGGGGACAATCGCCACCTTTGACTCACTGCCACCTGCATCCAGCCCACGGGCCTCTCTCGCTCCCGGGAGGGATGGATTGAATTACCCCCAGTCTGTGCCGGCCAGCCACAGCCAGCACCCGGACCAGGGCAGCTGACCTTGCTGCTTTGCTGGGGTCAGCAAGGAAACCAAGCTGAGCTGTGTCTTCCAGTTGAGCCAAAGTGTCACCACGACGCTCTCCCTCAGAGGGAGGCCCCCCCCACGCCCAGCACCAGCACTGGCCCACTGCCCGGGCCACCCCACCACGACCCGGCGCGACCCCAGAGCCGAGGGCACAGGTTTCTTCAAGAGCGCACGGGGGAGGACGTGCGGGTTGTCCCTCCCCAGCCCCCAGGACCCTCGCAGCAAGCACCGACGTGGGGGCCAAGGGGGGTGTTCCGAGAGGGTCACCACTGCGGGCCCTCTCCTGCCTGTCTGGCAGGAGAGGAGGGGCCAGTGCCAGGGCAGGCCCAGGCTGCGTGGTGGGGCAGACAGAGGGGCACTGCCCACACCCCGGCGCCTGCCCAGGGCTGCCCCTCCCCATCCACACGGCCGCGTGAGACCCCGCAGAAGCGCGCAGCGTGCGGACCCCGGGGCTGCGTGGAGCTCGAGCCCTGGCTTCCCACCTGCCCTGCCCCTGGGCCCAAGGACCTGCCTCTCTGACACGCTCCTGCCCCTGTCACATGCGCAGCAGACACCTCACTTAGAAGGAGACGGAAAGTGAAGAGTGTCCGGGGCCCAGCTGAGCTCGTGGTCCCGGGGTGGGGGCTGGCCACCTGCCGGGGCTCTGAGTCCGCAGTCACCGAGGCCGGATCCCCGCCTGTGGCTGCACTTCCTGGGAGAAAGGGCGCCCGCCGGGTGCACATGTTGGGGGCCAGCGAGGCGACCAATATTGTTAGTGGGCGATGGCCCCACAGGAGTCCCCCCGAGAGCACACGGCCTCCCTCTGTCACGCCCACGCACCTCCCACTGAGAAAAGGAAACCCCGACTGTTCAGACAAGTGCCCCAACGGCACCAGGACCCACTGACCACGCACCTCACCCCCACCCCCACCCCCACCCTGCTGGCGCCCAGCTCCATGGCCGCCGGCACAGGAGCCCCCAGAGGGTGGGCTGTGCACCCCCAGGGTGGTCTGCCCTTGGTCCACAGCACTGCCCTCTCCTGTGACGTCGGCTCTGCCAGGACGGCAAGGCCACTGGGAGACTCCCGGCCTCCCCGACACATGGCCTATGGGGTGGCACTGGCAGGTCCTCCTCGGCCACCTGGGTTCCCTCTTCACTCTTCTGAGAGGGGACCCTGCCGCCGAGCGGAGGATGACCCCCAGAGCAGCAGCTGCCCTGGTCCCATGACCCACGGGCAATGGCACGGTGGCGCAGCCCCCTGCTTCCCGGCAGAGCGGCCCTGCTGGAGGGCACCAGCCTCTGTGGCGGCTCTGGGGTCTGCCGGCGTCAGGCCCGGGGCGGCTTCAACACGACAGGAGCGGGCCTGACTCCCTACGGGGTTGCAGGGCCCGAGGGACTTTGACAGGGTCCCTGCCCCCTGACCGAGCAGCTCTTCCCTTTGAACGGGGGAAAAGCAGCTCAGCAGGCCCAGAGGAAGGGCCCCGTGGTCCCCAGTGGAACTCGCCGGTCTACCGCGGACACTCCCTGTGGGCTGGAGCCCCGGCCCCGCGCCCGGCCGCGGCCCCTCGATGCTGGGGGGCATGCGCTCTGGTGGCTGGTGAACACGGGCACCCACGCATGTGTGAGGACGGCGTGGTGAGGTGCCGCCAGCTTCACCCAGGCACGACAGAGGGTTTCGATGCACCGCCCTCCATCTCCGTCCACCGAGAGGGGGAGGAGGGTCACAGCCTGCCCAGCCCGTCTGTGAGGGCTCGTTTGCTGCCGAGGGCGGAGGGGGAGTGTGTGGCGGTGTTGGTGGCGAGGCCGCTATGGGAGGACACGACTCAGGAGGACAAGTGCATTTCCATGCTGCTGTTGCCCCACGGACACCACACACACCCCCCTCAGCCACGCACCAGGCGTGGGGCCGGGCCCGTGGGGAGCCTGCCTGGTGTGTGGCCGCCGGCCTCCCTGCCTCCTGACGAGGGCTCCACGTGGGGCCTCCCCTCGGCGGCTGCTGCCGGAGAGCTGTCGTCAGAGCCGCACCCCAAAGCCACGAGAGCCCCCATCTTGGCGTCCCTGCAGTGGACATCGCCATGGAGAAGCTGGCCACCAGCCTCGCCTCCCGGCCAAGGACGCGACACTCCCAGGTCGCACGGCTGGGACACAGCAAGGCTGCGCTGAGCCCAGCCTTCCAACCTCGCCGCCAGGCGCGGCCCGCCAGGCCAACAGCTCCCACCCGCACTGCTCCTCGGCGAGGACACCCCGCCAGGGGCCACGGGGACCCCACCCAGCCCTGTGCGTGCACCCAGGGGACACGTAACGCAGAGGCCCCAGCCCTGCAGCGACGGTCTGTCCAGGAAATGGCCCAGCCCCCCACAGAAGTGAGAGGGGAGGAAGAACAGAGGCACCGCTGCGGGGGCTGGCCCCGGAGCGGCTTCCGTTTCGCTTTCAGCTGCTGACAACCTGGACGGTCGGAAGAGCCTCGAGGGCCCACGCCTGCAGACCCTGAGGGCCCCCCGCTCCTGGCCCCAAGGACAGCCCCCTTGCTGGCAGGAAGATGTTTCTTCACTGGGACTTTCTGCCACAAACGTGACCAGTGGGAATGATGACACTGGACATGCCCCGACAGGACAACATGTCTCCGCCGCCTTCCTACACCACTAAACACGCATGAGCTCCAGACGGGCCAGGAGCTGGGGGCCTACCTCCACCACGGACTTGGAGTCCAGTCGGAAGTTGAAGTCGCCGAAGACAAAGTAGGACACTTTCTCGAATCGCTGGTCCACGATCCTGGGGAGAGAGAGGAGGCAGGTTATGTGGTGCTTCCGTGCCGACCGGCCGCTGCAGCCGGGCACCAGCGCCTGGGCTCCACCACACATTTCCTGCCGTCTCCCGTGGCAGCTGACACGCACCCCCACCCTTAGCACAGTGACCATGGCCACATGTGTCCACCCACAGTGCAGGGCTCTCTCCAGCACATGCGTGTGCGGCCAACACATCCTCGTCAACTGGGCCAGGGCAGCGTGAAAGCCGCAGTTGGTGGAACCGCGGCCTGCACCGGAAGGGAGGCTCGCACTGGGCGCCCGGGCTTCGGGGGGCAGCAGGGAGCTGTGCAGTGGTGCACACAAGGGCCTGTAAGGGCAGAGCCAGCTCAAAGCGGTCCTGTCCTGTTCCCAGCAAGACCTGGCACCAGGTCACCCCGCTCACTGTGGATGATGCCGTGAGTCCCACCTGCCCCCATGCAGCCACGGGCCCGGACACAGCCGGAGCTGAGCGCCCAGGCTCTGCAGAGGGCAGGTGACCTCTCCAGGAAGACCCAGTGCCGAAACCCCCGAGACCCACCCTGAGCACGGGGACTGGACCCCCCATCAAAGCCCTTTCTTTCCTCGGAAGCTGGACCGCAGCGCTGGCACCTACGTCGTGTGCAATGACCCCCGGGGATACAGTGGGGGGTGGGCAGGTGGCCCAGAGGGAGCACGTGGGAGCGACGGTGCCCAGCAACCCCGGCCACGCCTTCGCCTGCCCGGGCTTGCTCTGAAGGTGCGGACGAGTAGCCCGCACTCGGATGTTTCCAAGGTGTGAGGTGACGGCACCTTCACCTTTCTAAGCCTGGCCTGAAAACACTCTTCTCTGTGCGGCAAACCCACCCCAGCAGGTTTCACAACGGGCTCTCCAAGAAGAGCGTGCCCGCAGCAAGCACCGACCCTGCCCTTAGACATGGAGGCAGCAGGCTGCTCACACCGCCCGCTGCTCCCGGTCGCAGAGCAGAACGAGAACCTCTGCTGGCCAGTCACCAGCCGCACAGAGTAGGTGGTGCAGCAGGAGAGCTGAGCCCAGTGGCCGCACTTCCGAGGTCGCGACCCTGCTGCAGCTTCACTGACACGCTTGCCAGGGCGGAGCTGCGGGTGGGCTGTCTGAGGCCGGTTCGAAAGCTAAATGGACCCGGCAGGAAAAAGCCAGGGGGAATGTCTTCACCAGAGTACCTTGCAAACTTCTAATCGTTTCCTGGGGAACGCCACCAGTCCCAGCCCCCCTGCACAGCCGGTCGCAGTGGCTGTGCGGCGCCCGGGCACAACAGGCTGGGAGCCACCAGCTCGGCCTTTTCTAGCTTGATCCATCAACTTGAGAAACAAGAGGAGAGGGACAGGAGGGACGGGTCCGAGCCTCCGGCAGGGTCCGGCTCCCAGGTGCTCTCAGGCGGTCCACCCAGCCACACGTGACCGAGGGGGTAAACTTGTCCCTCTCTATGTAACACGTCTGATCTGACGGGAAAACGCCGTTTTTGTTTCAATTTGTGTGACTGCGGGAGGCTGACTGTCCTCTCACACACCTGCTAGAATCTGTCCTTTCTCTGCTCTTGCTCACTCAGAGCCTGCTTTTAGTTCCTTGCCTTTTCCATTTGAATTCCCGGACTTTCCCTGAAGGTCGTGAGGTTAACCATCCGACTTCTGCTGGTCTTGCACTGATTATGCAGAAGCTTTAATTGTCCTGCAGTGAACCCATCCAACTCTCCACGAGCCCCCCCCGCCCCCCCCGGCCCCGCCGAGGTCTTCACAGCATTGCGCTGCGCTGGCTGGCCTGCCTGGTGCCCCTGCGGGGAGAGGGTCCCCGTGGGAGTGCAAAGTGGTCGGTGGGGCTGCCCCAGCCAGTAAACGTCCAGTGCTCCTTCCCCTGAGTTCGAGAAGTACAAAGTCCCCCAAGTGACCTGGGTCTTTTTGAGACTCCCTATTCTTCTCTGCGGATCCTCGACCTCTCCTGGACACTTCTAACTAACCTGCCTTCACAGGGACACCGTTCTCGTCAGGACTCCTTTAAAGGTCCCCTCCGCTGCTCTCCCCCTCTGTTGCAATGGTGACTGCTCTGCCATCCGTCCGAGTCCCACGAGAAGCTCCGCCCTCCTTCCCAACACGGAGTTGGAAACAGCACGCAGGGATCCCACTAACTCGAAGGCAGAGAACACACCTTCGCAGATCACTGCCAACGGGGCGGGGGACCCGCACTCTCGCTGATTGTGCTGAAGCCGCATCTCCCTGCGCAGGAGACGCTGCTCAGGAATGACGACGGCGCAGTGCGGGCAGGCGCCCCGCCGCCCTCAGCCCCAGGGACCAGCACTGTGTCCAGGTTAGCCGTGGACCCTGCCTCGCCCACCGCCTGCCCTGCACTCACAGGTGCGGGGACAGAGGCCTACGTCTCAGCCCCTGTCCACAGGAACCCAGCTATCCCAGCCATCCTTAAAACAAAATAAACTTTTTTCCGGTCTTGAACATCTTCAGAAGAAAACTGCCTTCGGAGAACCTGCACGGCTCCTACGCAGCTCGAGATGTGCCCTCCCACCAGGAGAGGCAGTGGGCCTGCAGGCCCCCACCTCGAGGACGTCGGAGGCCCGGAGCCCGGGTCCTGGCGCAGAAACCACGACTGGGAGTGAGCACAGTGATGGCTCTGCCCCCCAAGGGGACCCCGTCCCTGCAGGCCTGGGGCCCGCCCGCTGCAGCCCCGACTCCCACAACACTGGGCACCGGCCATCCAGGCCACGAGAAGTCGGGCTCCAGTCACACTGTTCTTCTCCGAGCAACCAAAGTGGGGAGCACCCCAGGTCATCATGCTGACCGACTTCCAACTGCTGGCTGAGCCCACAGAGAAGCCTGCGGCCCCTTGCCCTGGCATCTGTCGACGGCAGCACCCCAGGATACACAAGAGTCCCCAGCAAGAGGCTCTGAGGAATTCGTGGTACTTGGGTGGGAGAGCTGAGCATCCCTCACGGCCCAGCAGAGGAGCGAGAGGCCCTGGTGGCCACTCGGAGGCTGCAGGGGCGGCAGTGCGGAGCAAGGAGGTCACAGCCCGACCTGGGGCGAGGCCTGAAGGACATCAGGCCATGAGGCGCTGCTGCTGCTCTGGGGCGGGAGCTGGAGCTGAGCGCCGGTGGCTGGAGCGGTGGCTGGAGCAGAGAACCTGCTGCCTCAGCGGGGTCGGCCTGCCGACGGGGGCGAGTCAGACATATGGGGAGCCGGAGCCGCCGGCTGCCTGCAGATCAGGAAGCCAGCTCCCATTTGGCTGCTTGGACAGCAGAGCCCATTTTGAGGTCAATCCCTTTTGTAAAAGCTAACAAACTTCAAGTTTAAAATCTGACCCAATAAACTTGAAAAACCTCTCAGTGTCGGAGAGAGAACACGCCACCTCCCCATGGCTGGGGCCCCGTGCCCGCAGGGCCTTGCGGTGGCGGGCGGAGGGGGGCTCACTCAGAGCGTGTCCAGACACGGCGTGTCCAGAGCCGTGTTGCTCTGTCATCAAAGACGCAAACCCGATTGTCGCTTCAGGGCCCCGCTCCCCTCGGGGTGACGGCCTGGGCCATCAATAACGAGCGGGCCCGGGCGGTGGCGTGCGGGCGGTGGGGCGGTGTGGGGGGGGGGCGCCACCGGCCAGGCAATCGCCTGAGTGCCAGGCCCGCACCTCACTTTTAATTTCAGCAGAGTGCCATTTGGACCCAGAGAAAAAAGCGTTGTTTTAAAATTAATTACCTTGTCAGGAGCTATTATGATTAAAAAGTAGGCCCACATCAATATCATGTGCCTAATTCAAAAAGGGAATTACAAGAACAGCCATAAAAATCAATTTTTGGGGCCTTGAAAACGGAGCGCCTTTCTGTTTTGACAGGTGATTTCATCATGAGACAAACCACAGTGACACTGCCTGCGTCACCGAGGCCCCCCCGCGAGCCGGGGGCTTGCCGATGCCCCATGCTGCAGAGCAAAGACCTCGGTAACAGGGACCCCCCCCCCCAAGGGAGCCCCAGCCTAACCACTCAGGACAACAGCACTTCCGACCCGCCGCCTCGAGCAGCGGACCCGGGGTCCCTGCAGACCTGCCGCCGCTGGGACCCTCACCAGGAAGCAGCTTGTGGCTTGGAAGCTGAGGGGCCACGGACGACCCCTCCAGTGAGACAAACTCACTGGGGCTGTTCCTTCTCTTTCTTTCCATTCTCGTGTTCTAGCTACGGGACAGCATGGCGTTTCCGTATAATTAGGAACCAAAGAACGCTGGATTTGTCTCTCAGATGTGGTGGAGACCACGCTCTCAACCGTTGTCATCAGCAAAAACTCCAACCACACAGATCGGTGAACGGGGCGGAGCGCTTCAGAGTCCCTCAGGAGCCTCCCCTGAGCCTGAGCGTCTCGTCGACCCTGCTGTGAGGCAGGACCAAGCACGCCACCTCGCCGTCCCGGGCTGCGTGGGCCCTGGCCCGGCTGGGCTGCAGGGCCCCGTGGACAGCCCTGTGCTGAGGCCAGCTGTCACGAGGGCGCCCGTGGGGGACGGTCGTCCCTGAGGCAGGGACGAGGACAGCGGACTGTGTGCAGAGGCACAAAGGACAGAGCTGCTGACAGAACCTGAGCCAGCACCAGCGTCGGCACGAGGCGCCCGAACGTCCCCGGGAGGGCCCCGTGGGGCTCCGTGGCCGGCCCGCTGGCCAGCCAACAGAGCGCACTCGGGGCTGACCCTCCGAGGCCCCGGCACACACTTCCCGCAGGCAGGCCGGCCGAGCAGCGCCCACCGTGTCCGCTGTGGGCTCCCCAGTCACAGGCGACACCCGACTCTCAGAGGTCTCGGCCGCGCGGGCACTTCCGCAGCCCTGAACCGGCAGTGCCGAGTGAGGGGGGCCCGTGGGGTTCTCACCGCTGAGGCCGTGGTCGCCAAAACCCACTCTTTGCCACAGGCATCCCACAGAACTGTTTCCAAGAGGTCGCCTCCTGTCCTGGATGCTCCAGGTGGTGAACGGGAGACGGGTCACAGGGCGG